CTATTCCCATCTGAAATCTGGGCACTTCAAGCAGGGTTTTACCCACTGCATCAAATGCCCATCCCTTTGTTCACATCTTAAACTTTCAACTGAAGAGGAAATTCTGTGTAATGATTTATTTTTTAATTTCTGATTCTTCAGTTTTCTACCACGCATCTGAAATTTACTTCCATGACAGATAAAAAAAAATGTGCTTGACCATTTCAGAAATGCCACAATACATGATTTCATAATTTTGGTGACCAGCTCAATCCCTTCTTTTTTTAAAGATTGAAAACTTGGCTTTTGAAAAACAAAGAGTATGTATAACAATGCCGTTTTGTAAAACAGTCTCCCCACATTGGGACATAGAATTTTACAGTGCTCTGAATATCCTATAAAATGAGAGTCAAGCACAAATACAAAAGGGGTTCATTGCAAAAGCCAATGATGGGAGTTTCTAATTCTTCACATGCTCTTTGAGAAAATGTTTAAATAAAAGAAAAACAAATGATGCCCTTTCTGGGTTAAAACAGTTTCCATTGCTTCAACAGATCACTGCACAAGAGTGAGCAACTGCTTATTGAAATTCCATCTCCTCGAAGAACTTGGAGTGCCATGTTATTCAGGAAGAGTCCACTGCATTCATCAGTGAGGGCTTTACAACAGCGGGGACCACGCACAAGGATCGCCGTGCAAGACACGTGGTCACCTCGTGAGGGTCGCGTGAGTGATTTCCCCGCTCCTCAGTGATTCTCCCAGTCACCGAGGCCGCCACCTCCACCGAGGAGTTTTTCTGCTCTCCTGCTCTTGGGTGGCCGATCCACAGTTTGCTCTCAGGACCTCTTTATATCTTAAATTGGTTTCCAGAAGCACGGCATGTTGACACAGCAGTACATGTCCATAATTCTTTATCTGAAAATCTCAGAGGCAAACGTGTTCAGACTTGGAGGTTTTGGAATGGAAACACAGAACATGTGCCATACCTAGGAGAACAATTCCAGTGGATCTAGGCCAATACCTCGTAATAGTTCAACAGTAAAATATACAAATGTTCTCAGCAAGTAGAATAAACTGAAAAAAAAAAATTGCCAAAAAAAAAAAAGACACTGATTCAGGTCACCTTTTCCTAACACTTTCGTTTCACACAAATCCACGTAAGTGCCTTTGGAATTTAGAATTTTACGTAAGGGATTGTGGACCCATATTACAAGAGTATTTTGTCATTGTTAACCGTCTAAGTGAAAATTCAGTGAAAACCCTAAACTCCTAGGATATTCAGAAGAGCTCTAGTGATGTGGTGGGGCTCCATTTAATGTTACCAACAAGGAAATTATAGCACAGAGAGATAAATTACTAGGCGAACTTGGAAGTGAGCATTAGACTAGATAATAGTCTAGTTCATTAGGCCTGTTAGGTCAGACAGACTTAAGCTGAAGTCTTTCATAACTAATTCTGTGATTTTAGAAAATGTATACCTAGCCTTATATCCCAAGTTCCTATTGACTCCTTCTGCTTAGAGAAGCCTGCCATTTGTAGCACTGCTGTGAGCATCAAACTAACAAAACCAAAGAAACACTGAGTGCAACAAGCTGCAGACACTGCATGTAGGGTGATGTCTGAGGAATATTTTGAGATCTAACACCATCAAATTCCCAAAATACTTACTGCTTCTTTCCCTGTAAGCTAATAGACTAGTTTGCAGGGCTGAGCTAGACAGTTATAGACTATAAGCAATTTAAAAAATTTCTCTTTTATACCTCTGCTAAAGCTACTTAGTATGAACCATTTTGTTTGAATTGAATTAAACTCCAAGTGCTCTCAAAACAAGCGCTGTATTAAGAGTAACAGGAAAAGATAGGGAAACAAAAGGGCGGGGGGCGGGGAGTGGATTTCTTTGGGGTTGCAATAAACAAAAGCTTTAAAGATGAGTAATCATTTATACCAGGCCTGAATGGGAACCTAGCAGAGCCAGGTGTTAAGGAAAGACCCTTAGAGGCAAGAGGCGAGGCTTAAGCAAATTCTTACGTAAGTGAAAATATGTATGTTTAATTAACAGCAGCTTTATACATAGGGGATTGCCTGGAGAAACTACACAAGTCAGATGAATGGGAGAAGTGCAGCCTGCAGAACCTCAAGGGTGAGTCAGCATACAATATGAAAGCTTTAAATGGCTAATTTCTTTTTATCTTGCTTTGCTTTTAGCAGATGATCTAAACCAATATAACTTGGGCCAAGCTTCGGGAAAATCGCTGTGATGGTATTTTATAGACACAACTGAAAAAGCAGAGAGAGAAGGTGGATCCACAATCAAGGGCAAATCAAAAAGTCCTTTGTGAGTATGGCTAAGAGGGAAAGAGCTAAAACATCTGTACAACAGGCCAAATTTGGCAACCAAATAAGAATTAAAACTTTAAAAATGAATAAATCAAAGCATTTTTACTTTTCTAAATCTTGGGAGATGTTGTTACCAGAGAAAGAAGAGTAAGGTAGGTATGTTTAGGTGAGAAGAATTCAATTTTAAAATGGAGAGCAAATCACATCCTGTTTTAAAAATAAAGTGGCAAGGGCCCGGCGGCATGGCCTAGCAGCTAAAGTGCTTGCATTGCACGTGCCGGGATCCCACATGGGCGCTGGTTCTAATCCCAGCAGTTCCACTTCCCATCCAGCTCCCTTTTTGTGACCTGGGAAAGCCTTGGGACCCTGCACCCGCTCTTGTCTCCGGCTCTGGATCGGCTGTTGTGGTCACTTGGGGTATGAATCAGTGTACGGAAGATCTTCCTCTCTGCTTCTCCTCCTCTCTGTATATCTAACTTTACAATAAAAATAAACACATCTTTAAAAAAAAAATAAAGTGGCCAGTGGCAGGAAAGAAGTAAGCATTCGATCAGGAGTAATCACAGCAAATTAATGTCTTCAGAATCAAGCAACAGACCCGCTGATGCTGCACTGCTGAGGGGGGGAGGCTACTGGAAGGCTAGGGAACCTGTGAGCCCAGGACCTGTACTTTCATTGTCACTTAACTCCACAATGCCACCCCACCTCATGAAAAACAATCCTTGCAACTACAAAAACCCAGTAGGAATGACTGGAACAGGCTGGTACACATGTCAATTACATAACTTTCCTCTGTATCAGTGAAGTCTCTTAGAGCACAGAGACTATGAACATGCGGGTGACCTCCTCCTCAGCTCACAGGAGTGCCCGCTCCGCCTCAGCTCACGGGAGTGCCCCCTCCACCTCAGCTCAGGGCAGTGCCCCCTCCGCCCCAGCCCATGGGAATGCCCCCTCCGCCTCAGCTCACAGGAGTGCCCCCTCCGCCTCAGCCCACGGGAGTGCCCCCTCCGCCTCAGCTCAGGGCAGTGCCCCCTCTGCCCCAGCTCATGGGAATGCCCCCTCCGCCTCAGCTCAAGGGAGTGCCCCCTCCGCCTCAGCTCAGGGCAGTGCCCCCTCCGCCTCAGCTCAGGGCATGCCCATTCTGCTTTTGAGAGAGGAGACAGGCCATCGAAGGTACTTACACACCTCAGACATACACCTTTGGCACCTCACCAGCTCACCTAGCCCTGATCCTGTGAATTAGGTAAAAACCTTTCTTCAGAGGTTATTTTTCCTTAAGAAGCCGTATGTTGCAGCGGAGAGATTGCCAAACTTTTCCTGTGAAGGACCATATAGTAAGTATTTTAGGCTTTGTAGGCCATATGGTCTGTATTCCAGCTACCCACTTGTGCAGTGACACTGGGAGGAAGGGCCCTAGATGAGTGTAATAAATGGATATGGCTGTGTTCCAATAAACAGGTGGTAGGCCAGATTCAGCCCTCAGGTCATAGTTTACAACCTTGCTATATGGAATGGGCTATTTGGACCTTAGATTTAAATTTCAGATCCACCATTTACCAAATAGGTGGATGTGGACAGATACGTAAGTAAAATATATCCATAATACTCTGACTATTGATAGTGAGGCTTAAAGAAGGTGTGTTTAAAATGCCCAGTAAGTAACAGCCTGGTCAATAGTCCTTGTAATTACAAGACATAATAGAATAATAATCAGAGGCTAATAAGGAGGTGCAGTGGGTTAACCCACTCCTTGCAGTGCCCATTTCTTCTATATGGGGACCTACTTCAAACCTCAGCTACTCTGTATTTCCAGTGGATATTCCTGCCAACACGCCTAGGGAGTCAGCACAAGATATCCCAAGTCTTTGGGTTCGTGCCATCCACGTGGGGGACCCGGATGAAGTTCCTGGCTACTGGCTTCAGCTTGGCCCAACCCTGGCTGATATGCCATCTGGAGAGTAAACCAGTGAATGGAAAATCTCTGCCTCTCTGTTGCTTTGCTTTACAAATGAATAAATCAATCACTTTAAAAGAAAGAGAATAATAAGTTATTGTATACTTATAATCTGTTAGATACTATGTTAAACATATAATAAATATATTATGTTAATCTTCCAAAATTCTCAAAAGTCACGGCATTTCTTTCTACTTATAGAGAGACTGAGGCATTCAGAAATGCCCAAGATATGTTTATATAAATGATAAGTGATATAGCTGGTACTTAAGTAAGTGGACTCCAGGGACCTAGCAGTAAGCCTTATGCTAGGGAATTAGTTCCACTAATCCCGTGCAAACTGAACTGCTCAAAATCATCTGAAGTTCTCCAGGGATGTCTGCAAGCCAGCACAGGGTTACACAACTGAAAACAGTTTGATACTACAACAACTTCTAGAAATTCACCTTCAGGCTAACACTCAGATGGTATTTTCCATAAGTAAAACATGCCAATCTCCATCCCGCCCAGCTACCCCCACAACCGCAGAAAGATCTCCACAGCCATGAAAAAGCAAAATATGCCTGCAAAGGCTAATGCAAAGCCATTTCAAAGAATTCATCCTAAAATCACTCTAAAAACTTGCAATTTCAAAGCTACACTGCAGAATAGCATCCTGGATTAATTATGCCAGACTGCAGCAATAACCTTGAATTAAAGCTGCAACCTTCTATTTTTAAGAAATACTTGCCTTTCTGGTTGATGAAACCTGTCGTCCCATCAGGTAACAGACGTGACCAGGAAAGAGAGAAGCGGTAATGAGTCAATCCAAGCTGTTTGATACATTTCAAATCTTCCTCCCACAGAGTGTAGCTGTTACAAGCTACATCGCCAGTCTGGTTCTTGAAAACTCTGTCTCCTCCCTGATGGGTGAATGTGTCCCAGACACAAGGGCCTTTTCCATCTGCATCCCAGCCCCCTGAGAAAAGAGAGAAAATGAAATGGTTACACTCTTGACATCAAGAGGCATATGTGGAATGTAAATATTTGTCACCGAAAGAACATACCTCATTAACTCAGTGTACCATATTTATAACTTTAAAATATGCCTTTAAAATAACATGCATGAGCAGGTTGTGTGTTTAGTTGTCCTTGATCCTTAAAGCTGAGTAGCGGCAAATGAAAAATTATGGCATAGTGCTGAAGCATAGCAGGTTTTCACGGTTCGTTATCTGAAGATCTCCCAGCTGGTAAACAGAGGCAGGCCTCAGCTTAGGAAAGTCTGAGTTGAAAACACTCCCTTTCGATGGCCATGACCTATTAAAAGCCTTGTCCTTGTGTTTGACAGAGAGTTGGGGCATTCACCCTGACCCTTGACACTTGAACTGGTTTTCTGTTATCAGACACCAGAGATTGATGCCCAATTAATCTTGGAAAAAGACTGGTTTTTACTATTGCTGAAATGATATTTCTATCAATATTCATTCATTCATTCATTCATTCATTCATACTTCTGTTAATGTCATCTGTCAGGCACCATGCTAACCCCAGGGCATAACTTGGTATGTCTCACTTCTTGGGGAGTTTGGCTAATACTGCAAGATAACAGTGCAAAGGTTTTTGTCTTTCCAGAAACCAGGGAAGGACATTCATCAAAGATGGGCTGGAATCAGCAAAAGTCTCCTGCTGTTCAATTTTTCTATAACCCTAAAGTTGTTCTAAAATATACAGTCTACCAATTTAGTCCAAAGAACTCCTATGGTACATTTGCTATGTTTTGTGCATTTAAAACATATAAGACAACCCCTATCTTTTTAGAACGTACACACGTGATACAAGAGTCTAACTACTTGCTTGGGAATGATAGGTTTAGCTGAGTTACACTGGGGGAGAATGAGAAGTAACACCCAGGACAAGGATCTCTTCTAGTTCATTCTTTAAATTAGAAAAAAACGTCATGAGAGATAGTTTTGCATGTTATTTTCCATTTTTTCTGATATAAGGAAAGGGGTTACAGTTACAGAAGAGCAGGAAAAAAATCAGTTACAGGAAGTTCGTGGTCTTACTTCTGTTTTACACTCAGTTCTAAGAGGACGAGGGAGGTCTCCAATCCAACAAGAGGACATGTGGGAGATAAGCAGCAATAGGAGGAAAGAGGCTGCAAAGAAGAGGCCTCTCTGTCAAGAGCAAAAGTAGCCATTGATGGAGAGGTAGTAAGTACCTACAAGCAAGTAGACATCAACAGACAGAGCTAAATATTACACATTTAATTTTCTTAGAAGTCATGAATATTGAAATGTGTTGCATGTTGGAGCCTTGTTGTTACAGAGAATGAAACATTTTAAACACTCTGATGACTTTCATCTCATGTCTCCACAGGTGATTCAGAGGAATAAGCGTAAACGAACATGAGTATTTAATCTTAGAAAAGAACAGATAGAAATATTAAAATATAAATACTGACATCTAACTTCATTACTTCATTTATAGTACCAATATATGTTAATAATTGATTCAGTAAGTTAAGAAGCTTAATCTCAAAGAGTTTAAGTTATGGTTTACCAGCAGATATTTACTGGGTTATGTGAATGAATCCTCAAAAAGCTCCTGGAAATGTATAACAGGAAGAAACTAAGCAGAGTTCAAAATGCTTTTGAATTAAGATAAATTTACATGTCAGTCTCATGTCTTAAGTCTTCTCATGTATACAAAACATTTACTTAAAAAATTTACTGATTAAAGGATTATAGTTCACAATATATAAATAATAAAGTATTCTGCACTCTTTATAATCAAGGCTATATAATCAACTGATTCTTGTACAATGTCTTTGATGTTTCTCAGACTCTTGTATCAGTAACTAACCTACTATTACATTCTGACAGAAGTGTGTAGTTCTCCAATGGCTATTAGTTGTTAATTTTGCTTGAATTAAGAAATAAATTAAAGGAAAAGAAGATACACTAAATTTTTTTTAAACTAATGACATGAGCTACTTCTTAGCTCAATTGCATAACAGATTTTAAGTAGTGTGAGAATATTTGCTTAATCATTTGTGTATCCCATCAAGTAACAAATGTAGATATGATGTAGTCTTGGACCCAGCATTTTCTCTATCACTTTCCTAGATCTGCACAACAACAACATAACAATAATAAATTAAATCATGACCAATGCCTGTGATGCCAGCATCCCATATTGAGGTTTTGGTTCACGTATCAGCAGCTCCACTTCTGATACAAGTTCCTGCTACTGCACCTGGGAAGGAAGCAGATAATGGCCCCAACGCTTGGGCCCCTGCCGCCCATGTGTGAGGCCAGGATGGAGTTATTGGCTCCTGGCTTCAGCCTGGCCGAGATCTGGCTGATGTGGCTAATCTCAGCAGCAGATGGCTAATCTGCCTGGCTCACTCATTCTCATTGTCTTTCACACTCTCCCTCTGTCACTCAGTGTTTGGGTTAAGTAAATAATTTTTAAAGATAAATCAAACCATGACTGATAGCACTTTTCAAATTCTGTAGTGTTAATATTCCCATTATAGTCAACAATGGGAATTCATGTGGTTCATTGAGAGCAGAGATCAGAGAGCAAAGATGAGCCACAAAGCATCCCGCCATAGTAAATAGCTTCAAGGATGTAGATAATAGTAAGGAGTGGCAAAATAATGTTTGTTAACATAATGCCTTTAAGTATTTAAATTTGTAATATAAACTATTTATCTGTAACTTTTTGTTACTTAATTTTTAACAATGGCCAGTTGAATAAGTTCATAAAATTGCCCAAAGCCGAATAGTAGGCTCTCATGAGCCAGAACAAGCTCACTTCACCACATAAGTGTCTGTAAGTTGCCTAAGACTGGGCAGTTAGCATGTGAACACAACAAGTTAGTATGGTTGTTCTTAGCCAGAGCCAGCAGATGTTAAAGTGCAAAGGGCTTATACTGGACCATGCTGTTCTTAGGAATAATGACTCTGAAAGATACAAGAGCCAATTGATGTCCATGCTACTCTCTGTGTATATTTTATTTGAATTGGCTTGTTCAGTTCCAAAGATCAGGAAATCCTAGCACCTGCCAAGTATATGCTGCAAAACTAAGAAATCCAATAAGGTGGAGGCATAATTCAATCTGCATATGAAAGCCTAAAAACCAAGAGCAACAAGATCAGAGGGCAAAGAAATGCATGGCCCATCTCAACTAGAGCAACTTGCTCCTCCTCACTTTTTTGTTGTCCTCTGGCTATCCGTGGATTGGCCAACACCTACCACATGGCTAAGGGTGGCCTGCTTTCCTTGGTTCACTAAGTCAAATGCTAAACTGCCAAGAATGTCTTCCCAGACACACTCAGAAACGTTTACCAGCTATCTAGGTATACGGAAGGCCAGTTAAATTGAGGTATAAATGTAACCATTACTTGCTGCTCTTAATTTTTTTATGTGTTACAGAATTTTCAACATGCACAGAAGTAGACTAGAACAATGAAGTCCACATACTTGTCACTCAGCCCCAACCCTTTTCTAGTCTACCCATCTTGTTTCAGTTGTATCCCACCCAAGCTTACTCATTCAAGCTGTGCACTTTTCCTCTTGCTCCTTTAAGTGCCAAGAATACTTTTCTAATTGCAGTGGAAGCACACGTAACATAAAGTTTACCATCATCATGACGTGCAAGGGATCTGTTCCATGATACTAAGTATTTTCCCACTAACATGATGCCAACAGCTTCTGTTTCTAAGATCATTTTCATCTCAAAATCGGAATTGTAAGAATGAAACAATGCACACCCATCCTCCATCTCTCTGGTCCCTGGCAGCCACCATTCCCACTTCATATGTTTATGAATTATAGCACTCTAGGCATCTCATATAATTGGAATTACTATGGTATTTGTCTTTAAGAGAACTCATTAATTTCACGTAATGTCTCAGTTTCATTCCTGTTACAGCACACTTCAAAATTTTGTTCTTTCTTAAGGTGGAATAGTATACCACCATAGTCTCCGCCACATTTTCTTTTTGCTTCTTTCATCATGGACACTTGCTTATTCCCAAATTATGGTGACTAATGCTGCAACTTTCATGATGTACACAGCAGCAGCACTTCATTCTTTCACAAGCAGGGCACAAATATTTTTCCTATTTAACAACATGTCAACGTTTAGTTTCTGGGTTTTTTTGTTTGTTTTTCCACAGTAGTTATCATGTTAGCTGTAAGGTGCTATCCTATTATGGTTTTCATTGGCACAAGAAAAAGGAGATGAGAGTTCCTAAAACACAGAAATAGCAACTAAATCAACAGAATAAGGCCCAGCAAAACAGAAATAAGCCATCATTACCTAGAGATTGCCTATGAAAAAGATCCAAAAGAATTGATCAGGATAATCAATATAATTGAATAATCACTTGCTATAAAATGAATATTAAAAACCATGCATCCTCCAGACAGTAATAATCATAAAATATCACATTTACTATAGCAATAGAATATTACATAATAAATGTATAATAAAGTATATGAACTTATTACAGAAAAATACAAAATTTTATTGATACACACATTTAAAAATAGATGTCATATTAATCAGTATATAAACATTTATTAATGCCATCTTTAACGATTACCTCTTACATCATACTATCCATTTTTCCCCACATTATAATCTACTTTGAATTTCACATTAAGTGATATGAAAATATGTACTGCAGCTTCCTTTGAAAAATTTCATTCCTCAAGAGGAATTGAGTAAACAGAATGGTTTGCCTCTAGTGAGGAAGGTTCTTTAGGTTCTGGTCATGCCTAACAAATCTTAGAAATAAAACCTAAAGCATCAAGCCCTTTATACATAACTCACATGCATTCCAGAATGGAGTTTGAGAATGCTTTTAGGAATACAAAAATATTCCATTCCAACAATGTAGCAAAATACAACTCCAAAATACCAATGACTGGAACCAATCCTAAAATGGGTGAGGTATTAGAATT